GTTTTTTTTTTTTTTTTTTTTTTTTTTTGAGGTTAATCATGCTTGCAAATTCAATTGCATTATTGTGTGGTCAGTACTAGAAATATTTAAATCCTTAAAAGCTTTGCTGCCATGGAAGTAAAATAAATGTATTTCTCCTTGAAAAACTTGATTTAGTTGCTGACATAATATCTAACTGATCTAACTGCTAACTAAGGTGTGGCACTATTAATTGACATAGGGATATAGAAAGATTCCATTTGAGGAACAATATGTCCTCATCTTTGGATGTACTTCATATAGATGATGTTTTGAGAAATTGGAGCTGGAAATGTAGGTTTCTATATTACTGGTTTAAATTGTGAAATGTAAAATTATTGAAAAAGAGGGAGTTAATTTGTACTTATCAGCTCGAGGAACAGTGCCATCATAATCTATGTCTCCTCCAGCTTTATTCCCATTTGGACCATTGTTGAGGCCTTCCAGTCCTATTCTTTCAGTGTCTCTTTTCTCAATTCCCACTTTTCTGTTTCTATTACAAATGTTATGGTTCAAAAAGAACTCCTAATGGGCACTCTTCCTCAAATCTATTGTGTTTCTCATACAGCTTTCATATTGCCATCAGTTGTTTTCTTAAATCGTGAATTTAAAAAAGTGACTTTAATCCTCAAAGCCTTTTAACTACTCAGCCGCATCAGCAAAATAAATCCCAATTTCTTACCACAACATTAAAGATTTCTGCATATTTCTAGGTCCTCCATATGCCTTCTGCTTTAGCTTTAATGAACTTATCATACCTCAAACCTGACACTAACTCCAATCCTCTAAACAATTACTTTACTGACTTACACTGTCTCCTCAGAGACAGTAACTACTATAACTGCACACCTTAACTGCCTGAGAACTCTACTTATTCAGAAGTCCTGTTCATCCTTAAAAACTCAATTCTGAATTAAAAACCTCAGTGAAATTCTGAACAGCATGTATTTCATTGTTTTATTTTATGGTAAGTGTGTGTGTGTGCGCATGTGTATAACATGTGTACCCAATTACAATCTCCCTGAGCATAACTGTTGTCTTACTGATTTCTACCGATCTAGATGGTAGTTACTTAATAATGTATTTTGATTAAAAATAAATATTTTATTGTTATTGTTACTGGTTATAAAGCTTTTGAAAAAGCACATCTTTGAAATAACTATTGTCAATAGGCTATTACAGTATAGAAAATAGGAGCAAATACATCCTGTGTACATCTGCAAATAGATGTTATGGTAAAAAAAGAAGTAAATAAGTTTTTTTTTCTGAAAATATTTTGCTTAGATTTGCATTATGCTATTTTGGATGGGGTTTTCTTAACTAAAACTTCTTTCTTAAAATTGTATTTCACTCCAACAAATATTTGAACAATTAAATTCACATGGTTCCATTTCTACTTCTACTGCCTTTGAATCATTCCAATCCATTTTCCACAGAAAAGTAATATTAGTCTTTTCAAAATATAAAATCGATTTTATCACTTCTCTATCTTACCCTCACACAGAAAATACAAAGCTCTTGTGATGGCTGGCAAGGGCTTGCTTTCCTCTCCAATTTCATCTGCAGCCACTTTGCCCCCTTGCTCTCTACATCACAGCCCCTGTGTCTTCATTTCAGTTCCTCTGATGTCCAAGCTCTTGCCCAATTTAAGATCTCCAAATGTACCATTTTCTTAATCTGAAATACTCTTTTCCCCATTCTCAATGGCTGGTTCCTTCTCTACAATCAAGTCTCAACTTAAAGGACAGCTTCTTTGAGAGGCTTTCTCAGCAAACCTATTTAAGGAAGTTTCTACCTGTTAGTCTCCATCATACCAACCTGTTTGTTTTTCTCTATCACTTTAGCCGGCTGAAATTGTATTAGTACTTATTTATTTATTGCTCATTTAGCACTTACTTATTGTTAAACTTTCCCACTTTCCACCTTGCAGATGATTCAAGGTTCTTCCTGAGGGTTAAGGCTATGCTTGTTCTCTTATTATAGAACTCTAGGTGTAGCATATTGGTAGGAAAAAAAATGTGTGTGTGTGTGTGTGTGTGTGTGTGTGTGTGTGTGTGTGTGTGTGTTTAAACATATATGCACACACACAGAGACACATTCACATGCACACATGCATGTTTGTGTGTGTGTGTGTGTGTGTGTGTGTGTGTGAGTGTGTGTTTAAACATATATGCACACACACAGAGACACATTCACATGCACACATGCATGTTTAAGATTGGTGCATAATAGCAGTATTCTATTTGAAAATTTGTTTCTGATGGAAGAATGACATAAGAGTCATTCTTTGTAGCACTAAAGGCAAATACTAGGTCAGTTGGTAGACAGACACTACAGGGATGCAGATATTGTTTCAACGAAAAGAAAAAAATTACATCAGTCAGATTTGCCTCTAAGTAGTATGAACTATGTAGATGCTGTAGGTTTCAAACATAAGTTGGATGCCTGTCTCCTAGGAAGGTGTTAAAAGATATTCCTAAATTTGATGAAAGACTTAGGACTAGAGGCCTCCAAATTTCTTTCTAAATTATATGATTCTAATGACCTCCAGATTTATGTTATCTCTCTGAGCACAATAAAGTCTTTTTAACGCTATTGGAAACATTTTTTTCTAACAGAATACTGACAAGGAAGATACTGTTTTAAGCTATTTGAAATTACTTGCTTCAAGTACATTTGGACATTGTGGAATAAATATTTACTCTTCAAACTAAGATTGCTATGGTTTAAAGGCCACATAGATAACTTGGTTTGAAAGTCCAGGAATACAGCAGATGATTATATAATCCATACATAAAATCACTGAAAGTACTTTATAACTGTGCCTTATGAAAACACATACAGTGATTTCATCCATTACCTGTGAAGATGCACCCTGACTATATTTGTAGCTACTCTGAATACAAACAATTGTTAGGAACTACAATTCAGTGATCTGTCTATAAGGGATTCACATGCCTCCTACTCAAATATTTTTTTACTTGTGCAGTGAAATATAAAAAAAATCCATTTTATGATGTTACGTTGAAATAGTGACATGTAAGCCATGGAGGGAAACATACACACAAAAACAGTGCATGTGAAATATGCAGTCTATTCATTTAACTATGAAATTCTGTTAGAAATTTCGACATTTGTTTTGATATTTTTGTAAGTATAGTTTTGCATTAAGGCAACATCTCTGAATAAAAATCCAAGGAAAATATACTACCAAGAATTGCAAGGATATTTAATCTGAAAATAAGTAGCTCATAGCATAAGATGATGTTCTTATACAGAGATTATGGTTGTGTTTAAAATTATGTGATTACCATTGTAGACTAATAAAGAGCAGTCGAGTATAATAGTTAAGAGTAAAGTCCTGAAGACAGGCTGCCTGGTTTTAAATATCAACCCAGCCTCTTACTACTTGAATGATCTTTTGCAGAACAGCTATCAGTTTTTTCTTTATAAAACAGGGAGGAGAATAGCAACTAATTCAAAAAATTATTGTGAAAATTACAAAATAGGAGCATAGTAACCTATTTAAACAAAATGCCAGGCTCCCAGTAAATATACAGGCTTTAGCTATTTACTGAATACATTGAATTTCAATAGCCCTTAAAAAGTTAAATTAATTGATTCTGACTTAATTGATTATTTATCTTGATGTCAGCCTGTCTAAAATAAAGAATTGTAGTGCTTGTCTAAATAAATCAAGAAATATATCCTTTATACAAATAATCTGTTTATTTCAGTTCATTGTATTTTGACATATTTATTTAGCACATTGTCTAGGAGAGGAAATCGTGAAATGTATAACTTTTCTCAGTCTACTGTTCACTTATGAATTCACCTATATTTATGAATTTAAGTAAAACTTACTACTATGATGTAAAAAATAATTTATTTATTATCACTTTCCTTATGTAAACCTGTTACAATATTGCATACCCATTAACTGGATCCACCACAATTCCTCTGGGGTGGGACATTTCTCCCTCTAAAAGAGTCTTCCGACTCTGAGAAGCCTTTTCCAACCTGGCCACATTAATGGTTTTCCTATGGCCATCATTTGTCCAGTACAGGTTATTTCCGAGCCAGTCCACAGCAATGCCCTCCACATTATCCAGATCTGTAAAAAGGCAAAAACAAGACAGAAACTAATTTTACAATTTTTGTAAAATGCTAATTTTGCAATTATAGTAAAATTAGTGTCTACTACTTATGTTCTACTTAATAAAACGTTTAATTAAAAAGGAATGAACTCTGATCCATGAATTCATTATGTTGTGATTTCTGCAAATATTACCATTCCATAGAATAATTTTCAATTTTATTTTGAATGCCCTTTTATGTGAATTATGGGCCCCCTCTCCTCACATGGATTTCTCTATTGTAGACAAGTGCATATTAATCATGGAAATTAACTATTTTAACTGAATCTCAGTATATTACAATTAAGACAGTGATCTGCAGAAAAAACAGGACAATATCAGCAATGTGAACATAAAAGGGGAATATAAGTGAAAAATATAGTAATGTAGACTGTTCAGAGGAAACATCTACTAGTACTATGACTGCATGCTCAAACTTGTAATATGTGATCTGAGTAATCAAAATAATATAAATGTCCTCTTGCCAAGAGATGAACAGGTGCAGCAGGAGTACACATGTAAAAGCCCAGAGTAGGTTGTCATCATTGAACTGCACAAACAGTGAATCTCAAAGAATCACTGAAATACTTCTGTATATTTTAGATTTATTTTAAAAAGGACACTAATGCAGCCTTCTCTAAGATACAGGCAATGATAAATCATAGGATATTATAAACACATAATCTTATGGGTTTAATTCAAGCTCTTTATTTTACAAAAGGGGGAACTTTTGTAAAACTTTTTTTGTAAAACTTCACTTCAAGGTGAAGACATTTGCTTATAGTCTGTTACCATTTCAGAAGCAGTAGAATTGGGATAAAATGAAAGGAATGTGACCTTCCAGTGTGGAGACCTTCAAAAGCATGCTGTTTTCAGTGGTGAGTTTCTGCAGCATCCTGTTCTCCCTTTTTGCCATTTTGTAAGCCACTCTCCAAACTACCCACAATATCATAAAGACAATTCCTTTTTTTCTATTGCATGAGAAATTACTGTGAACTTCTTTTATTTTTTTTTTTCCCAAACCAGGGAAGTCTATGTCTCTTGTCCTCCTGGGTATAAAGTACAGAACTGGAACTTTTAAAGACAATTCCTTTTTTTCTATTGCATGAGAAATTACTGTGAACTTCTTTTATTTTTTTTTTTCCCCAAACCAGGGAAGTCTATGTCTCTTGTCCTCCTGGGTATAAAGTACAGAACTGGAACTTTGTGGACATAGCAGTACATAGTAGTGGAGAGAGCTATGTATCCATACAATGCTGGCAAATCTAGAATACATTTCCTTATATGAAGACATAACAAATATTTACCATTATCATATTTGTTAATCATGGCCCTTCTGGCTCTGGAAAATAACACAATTTTGTTTTGTAACCCTTTCTGCTAATCAACTACATTTCCTTATATGAAGACATAACAAATATTTACCATTATCATATTTGTTAATTATGGCCCTTCTGGCTCTGGAAAATAACACAATTTTGTTTTGTAACCCTTTCTGCTAATCAACATGTGCCCTGAGTCAGGATGACTAACACAAAGTGTGATTTGATCTAACTAAAAATCCCATTATCAGAAATGTTCTCAATTTCTCTAAACTATCAGCTTCATTACCATCCAATACAAGTAATTTCCACAGGTTAATTGTGCCTATTCTTAGAAATAAAGCTTAATTTAGTCTTTACTTATTGATACTTAATTTTACTGAGCACTTTCCTGCTCTAGCATAATAGAAAGATAGTAGCTATTTATTCTCTTCTATTTATCATAGTCTGTAGCTGATTTTTATCTTGTTATTTGGTTTTCAAAAATTGTATTTTATTTGAAATCTACTCCAGCATGAAAAGTCTTCATGCTGGAAATCCCTCTTGTTTCTAAAACTTTTCCCTTTGACATCTGACTTGAGAATTTTTTTTTTATATGAAGCATTTGCAATACTGCCTAGATGGAAATTTTGTTTCTGACACTTAGATAAGCAACTCAGTCAATCTGCTCCTTTACTTCTCCATCTGTAAAGTGAAGATGATAAAAGAACCTACCCCATAGCATGACGACAAGGAGTAAATTAGCTACAGCATATAAAGACTTAGCATATATATATATATATATTTTTTTTTTTTTCAGGATTAAAGAATATTTCATATATATTTTGGCTCTTTTATATATGGGTGCTATTTGATAGGAATATAATTTATGTTTTTCTCTTTTAAAGTGCTTGTTCAGTAATGTTCCCTTGCACTTTTACCAGTGGCCAACTTTAACTAGAAATAGTATATGCAGAGTCACTCATGAATAAATAGTAAGCATGGAATGGAATCGAAGTCTAAGAAACAATTTGGAAGGACCCTGTCCTGAACTCATTTGTTTATTCTGTTTTTGGAGAATGAAATGCTTGAACAGTGTAGATAATGTAGTGGCTAGGATCATAACTTCTGGAACAATGCTGCCTAACCTATACCATTCACTATCTAAGTTATTTAACCTTTCTCTACTTCAATTTCCTGATCTTTAAAATGGGTATAATGATATTGTTTAACTCACAGAATTGTTTTGAGGAGGAAACTAATTAACATATGTAAAGTTCTTAAATAATAGTTGGCATGTAGTGTTATATTAATGTTGCTATTATTATTATTACTAATAATATCATTATTATAATCTTCCCTTTAGTTATCTAGTCTGTTAAGACAGTACTGAAACAATTAGCCTAGAGTGTTCTTTTAATGTTTTGTTTTTCTATTATAGGGAGAATGAGGCTGCATACTAATTTTAAAATAAGATACTCATAAAAGGATCTCTGTGCAAATTGGGAATCTTTTTAAACTATCCTAATAAAAGGGCAGGAGGAGAGAAATATTCTCTCTTGCAGGTCAAAGCCTGACCAATCAATTAATCACTTGCTCAACAAATCTACATTAATAAGGGAAGCATTTTGCTTCCATATTATTTGTGCTTTCAATTAACTTATGACTTGGAAGTAACATCAAAACATATAGAGCATTGGTCTTACGTTCATTTGATTTTTTTATTTAAAGAGGTCAGGTTGGGACATGCCTGAGACTGACTAATCAGAACTCTATGAACAAAATTCAAAAAGTTGATCAAGGACATATAAAGGTTTATGGCATTCAACTGCCAAAAAAATCATAAGTGATTACAGAAATTCTAATTACTAGCTTGAGGAAACACATGACTATTCAAACCCAGGGAAGATATTTCATAAAGAAAAACTTGGTAAAGTAGATTGTTTTTTATACCTTTGGCTAGAGTTCAAGTATTCTACATTCTGAAATCCATACTCACTACAAGTTTACTATTATTATTATTATTATTATTATTATTATTATTATT